TTATTTATTTATCTATCTATCTATCTATCTATCTATCTATCTAAGAGGGGGTCATTCATCTATTCTACTTGGGCCTTCAAGTGATTGGACAAGGCTCACCCACGTTATGGAGAGCAATCTGCTTTATTCAAAGTCTAGCAGTATAAATGTTAATCTCATTCAAAATGTTTATCTCATTACAGAAACATCCAGAATGTTGAACCACCTATCTAGGCACTGTGGCCCAGGCGATTTGACATATAAAATGAACCATCACATCAGGTGAAGGGTGCAGCAGGGAAATGAGGGGTATGGGAGCATTGGGGAAAAGCTTTAAAACCTACTTCTCATCGACCTCGCTAAAATGATGACTTCATGTCAGAGCTTCCAAACAGCATCTCTATTTGCTACTGACACTCCAAGCAACATCAGACGTGCTGTGTCATATGGCCCAAGTCTTGGAACAATTTACATGGCAGCCTGGACCCACTGCAGAGGCTTTTCTTGTTCTTGGGTCCACACAAAACTACAAGCTTTTTGGGTCACTTAGTAAGTGGGCCAGAGTAACACGCCCAAATAACAAATATGTTGCCTCCAAAATCCAAAGAGGCCCAGTAGGCATTGTGCCTCTTTTTGGTTTGTAGGAAGGGTTAGATGCAATGACTTAACTTCACCTTGGAAGATCCCCCACAATACCGGACTCCTAGAAACTTCAGAGGTGGAGGCAAATGACTTAACAAAAGTCTAGAGTAGTTGCGACTTTTTTTGTTCACGAGGGCCCAACCAGCATATTAATTGTCAATGTAACGGACCAGTATGATATCTTAGAGAAGGGAAAGGTCCTTGATCTGTGATCAGGATCCCCGTAGACTAAAATACGTCCCGATGTAGGACGGTGCAGGTATATGGCTGGCCTTGCCAAATGAAACCAACCTGTTTCTGGTGAGCCTAATGGAAAAGTATGGGGAAAAGGCATTTACCAGATCAATAGCTGCATACTGTCGATCCCTTATTGATTCAACATATGAACTTGGGGGAGATAAAGCGCAACCCTCAACAGCCCTCATGTTTGTAATATGTTCTTTCAGCGTAATCTTTGGGTAAATGCTTATAAAACTATTATGCATTAGATTTCAGTGAAGAATTACATTTTCTCTCATTCTGATATTGTGTTTTTTTAAATAATAATTTAACAGGAAAAAACTCTACCATCAAGAGGTAATTTCTGCTTCTCCTTCATACATGCTCAAATCAGCGCTTCTTGATCTGTAAAGTGCATTTCCTCATCTGGGGAATCCTGGTAAAATTCAGAGTCTGATTCAGGAGACCTAGGGTGGGGCCTGACATTCTGTATTTCTAACAAGTTCCCAGATGATGATGATGATGATGATGATGATGATGATGATGATGGTGATGGTGGTGATCTGGGGACTACACCATGAGTAGCAAGGACATAAAGTTTCTTCCACAAGCCATGGATCAGAAATTAAGTTATCTGGGGGGAAAAAAATTAACAAGCAGACAAAATAACTGCCTCAGCAAAAGACTGCACCAGGTACTCTTAACTGTTGATGTTATACGGATGAAGTCACGTGAACAGGTTTTCCATGATAACTTGACATCATCACCATAAATGCTTGTCAGTATGTACAGAGAGTCAAAGTCAGGGCTTTGCATTTTTTTTAGCCCTGTTGTAAATGACTTTATGAAGGAGGACTCATTAACCCAAGATCAGCAGAAAAAGAATTAACTTCTGATAGATGTATGCGAAGCCCATTCCTTTCTCATCTACCCCATAAACTTCTATTTAGTAAGTTAGAGCTGAACTAAGTGATGAAACTTTTTTTTTTAATTTTTTGATTTGTTTTTTAAAAATCTTTATTTGAGAATGAGAGAGTATGAGACAGGGAGAGCAGGAGCAAGAGGGAGCTTGAGCGGAGGGGGAGGGGCGGGCAAAGGGCGAAGCAATGCAGGGCTTGATCTCGGGACCCTCAGATCATAGCCTGGGCTGAGGGCAGGCACGCAAGCCACTGAGCCACCCAGGCGCCCTTGATGAGACCCTTTAAATGGTATAGTATTCTGACACTGTAGAATAAAAGAAAGATTCTATGGAATATCTTAAGTTATAAAGTAACGTACTAGTTTCTGCGAGAATAGTATTTCCTGCTACGTCGCCACACTTCTCCATGCAGACTACAGCCGCAGTGTTTTGTGCCTCTTGCCTCAGAGAGGAGGCCACCCTTATAAAAGCACAGCCAACAGGAGGCATCAAATGCTTGGCCTTGAGGTTTCAACGGCCAAGTCGAAGGACCAGTCATCATTTGGACGAGTTTGAAGAATCGTCCGTCCTTCGGAGTCACGGCCGAGAGCTGAGTTCCAGGAGACAGTGGGCCCTGCCCTCCCACTCTTCAGCCGACCCCCAGGAAAGGCCCCAGAACTAAGGCCCCAGATCCCCCCTAGATGCTCCTGAACCTTGTAGGGCACAGGATCAGAAGCAAGAGCCGGATGCGAGTCCCGGCAAAGGACTCAAGGGCAGTCACAGGTTCCCACGATCTCCGTGGCGTGGAAACCAGCGCAGGAGTTTCTCTCACTTCAGATACGCAGAATGGACTATTTCCCGGGCCCCTAGGAGAAGGCCGGGATTAAGTAGGAATCAGAACCTGGAACGAGAGGTCATGAGCAACCTACGTAGACAGAGGATATATGACCGAGGGCCAGAAGAGTCAAAGTCCTTCTCAGCAGATGGCCACACAGGAGAGGACAGCAGAGGACCGCGTGCCGGGCCCCTCCAAGCTCCAGCACGCCTTCTCCGAGACGTTTCCAAGGAGAAGAAGATTCAGGTTCCTCACAGACGAAAAGAAATGTGTGAAAGAAATTAAATTCCACTCTGAATCGTAGAGGAAGTTGCCCCTTGTACAGACTCTAGAGATTCACAATCAACCAGTTTTCTCTTTACGTTTTGCATTGGCCTCCCAACATCTAATGGCAGGTCCTACGTGAAGGAGGCGCCCGCAACGACGCGATGCAATCCGTTTACCTACTGGGCTCTGTGTTTGTACAACCATGTGAGGCCACAGCTCCGTCTTCACACTCTCCAGTGTGACCCCACTAACCGCATGTGGCTACCGAGGAATTGCGGCTAGTCTGAATTGAGATGCATCGTAAATGTAAAATATGTACCCGATTTTGAGGATTTAGAAAGATGCATGAATGTAGGGATGCCTGGGTGGCTCAGCGGTTTAGCGCCACCTTCGACCCAGGGCGTGATCCCAGAGTCCTGGGATCGAGTCCCCTGTCGGGCTCCCTGCATGGAGCCTGCTTCTCCCTGTGCCTGTGTCTCTGCCTCTCTCTCTCTCTCTCTCTCTCTCTGTGTCTTCATTTATTAATAGATAAATTAAAATCTTAAAAAAAAAGAATGTAAACTCTCACACTAATATTTTTTGAGATCTTAACAGATTGATAATCTTTAGGACACGCTGGCCATTTTTATATAAACATAATACTCATTTCTATAAATGGAAAATACAGACAATATAAAATCAATAAAACACCAAATATCACATTAAAATAATACAGTATTAAACTTAATGTCACCTATTTATTTTTACTTTTTAAACATGTGGGATCCCTGGGTGGCGCAGCGGTTTGGCGCCTGCCTTTGGCCCAGGGCGCGATCCTGGAGACCCGGGACGGAATCCCACGTCGGGCTCCCGGTGCATGGAGCCTGCTTCTCCCCCTGCCTGTGTCTCTGCCTTGTCTCTGCCTCTCTCTCTCTGTGACTATCATAAATAAATAAAGACAAAATATATATATAAACATGTGCCTGCTAGGGGGCAGTTGGTTAAGCGTCCTACTATCGGATTACGCTCAGGTGGTGATTTCAGGGGCCTGAGACTGAGCCTGGTGACCCGCCTGCCACCAGCTCTGCGCTTTGCATGAAGTCGGCTTGAGTTCTCTCTCCTTCTCCCTCTGCCCCTGCTTGTGCTCTCTTTCTCTCTCTCTCAAATAAATAAATCCTAAAAAAAAAAAAAAAATGTGTCTGCTAGGAAATCTGAATTCTCCTATGTGACTCACATGATAATTCTATTGGACATTGCTGCCCTGTATGCTCATTCGTGTTGATCTCCTTTACTTTCCCCTAATTAGCTACTGTCACGGCTTAATGCTTTGCCCACGCAGGAGAAAAACCCGCAGAAAAACCCACACTGCCTTTTCCGCGTGGGCGCTCCACGGGTCCACAGTGACTTGCTCGAGCTCCCAGAGCTCAGAGGCGGTGCAGCCGGGTCGCGCCCAGGTGGCCGGGCTGCAGGGCCGCAGCGCTCCGCTTCCCCGCGGGACCCAGCAAGAGCTCTCAGCCTCCAGGCGAGCGCCCGACGGGCCGCGAGCTCCGCCCCGCGTCTACCTGCGGGGATGCTCGCCCGCCGGGAGGGAGGGAGGGAGGGGGGCAGGGGGGCAGGGGGGCCGGCGGGGCGTGGGAAAGCTGCAGAAGACACGTCGGAGGGTGAGAATAGCCCAGGAGGAGGAGGACTTTGTAAAAAACGCTTCTAGAGCACGCATCGCGCTGCCTGGGCGTGGGAGAGGCCCGGTGACCTGGGCAAGGCGGGCAGGAACCCCGGGAGCGCTGCAGGTCTAGGCCACGTGGCTTTCGGCCGCGGGCAGCGCATTTCCGGAGCCCCTGCTGCGCGGGGCCACGAGCTGGGGAAACCGAGGCAGGCGCGCACGGCTGTCGGCCTCGCGTGCCACGGAGGGGCACGAGCCCTAAGGGACCCCGGCGCCCGCGCCCCAGGCCCGGGGGCTCCCCGGCTTCGCCGCCGCCCCCCAGCAGCCTCCCCCGGGGCCCCGCGGTCGCCGCCCCCGCCCCCGCCCCCGCCCGCGGGGCTCCGAGCCTCCCCTTCCCCACGCCGCCGCCTCGTTGCCAGGGCAACCCTCTTCTGCCCGGCAACCTCGCCGCCTCGCCGCTATAGGCTGAGCACACGCAGCGTGCGTCTGACGTCACGGCGCGGCGCCGCCGGATCCGGGCA